CCAAAAAAAAAAAAAAAAAAAAAAAAAAAAAAAAAAAAAAGTAATGACTGATCCAGGCAATTCTGCCTTACACAGAAAAACTGACATGAGCAACTTTGAAATGCACACTTATAAATCCAAATTCTCCTGTGATAACAGGACTGCAAGAGACTTCATTCATTCATTCATTCATTCAACACGTTTATTGAGAGACTTTGGTCATGTGGGTTGGGCAGTAGCACAAGTGAAAAACAGTATCAGCAATGATCTTACTGAGATTAAAAAGCCAAGAATAAGGAAAGAGGAGATATGCAATATTCTGATAAGCAGCCTCTGGTACACTATTCAGGGAGAGAACACATTTTCAAGCATTTAGAAACAGAATAGCAAGGCACATGAGAGGTGAAACAGTAACATTTACTGCTGAGGCTCTAATATTTTTATGCTTGTCTATCAGACTCATTTAGGTATAAAATTTCACAATTAGCTCAATGATTATGTTACATTTTTACAAAGCAAGTGAAGATTCCATTTTTACATGAGTTTTTCTATTGAATCTGGTAAAGCCAAAGAACCTATATTTGAATGGATAGAACAATAATTTTCTCTTACATGCTTTATTGGTATTAGAAATTAGGAGTTTCATGCCCCTCTCCCTAATGTGCATTCTAACATAAATTCACACGTATAGTAAGACCACTGCATTCTAGTGAGAATTCCTTTATAAGGCCAGAAGCTGAACTGTCTTATAGATATGGCCGTGGTGCTCTCTATAGTAACATCTACTATGGGAAGTGCCGGTGACCCAGGACACTATGAAATTTTAGGAAATGACATCAGATATAACAATAGCTGAAAACACTCCCATGGGTCACTAATCTAATTAAATGTTAGGATCTCCATTTACCAACAACAAAAACTCAAGGAAGGCACATCTCAAAAGCCCAAGAAGTCAGATGAGTAGTAATTCCAAAGAACTATATAAACAAGTCCTTTCCTCATATAACATATCAGCCCAATGTGAACTTTCAAACAGAAGAAGAAAAAGGATAAAGTAAAAGAGATTCTATGAAATGCCCTTCCTTTCCCTAATTTTTCAAAATAAGGTCAATAATCTCTACCCGGGCTTCCCTGGTGGCACAGTGGTTGGGAGTCTGCCTGCCAATGCAGGGGACACGGGTTCGAGCCCTGGTCTGGGAAGATCCCACGTGCCACGGTGCGACTAGGCCCGTGAGCCACAATTACTGAGCCTGCGCGCCTGGAGCCTGTGCTCCGCAATGAGAGAGGCCGCGATAGTGAGAGGCCCACGCACCGCGATGAAGAGTGGCCTCCACTTGCTGCAACTAGAGAAAGCCCTCGCACAGAAACGAAGACCCAACACAGCCATAAATAAATAAATTAAAAAAAAAAAAATCTCTACCCTTAAATTATTATAATATACATGTATACACACACACACACACACATATTCTAAAGTTTCCTCAGGGTTTCCTCTGGTATGAAGGTCCTTTGTTACAAATGTAATTGTGCAACAGTGCATAATAACATAAAAAATCTCAGTTTTAAGGTGCCAAACTAATAAAAACATCAGCAGTAAAAGCCTGTAGCCCATTGGCTTAATATATTTGTCAATAGCTCCATTCAAAAGCAAAATGTAGGGCTTCTCTGGTGGCGCAGTGGTTGAGAGTCTGCCTGCCAATGCAGGGGACACGGGTTCGTGGCCCGGTCTGGGAAGATCCCACATGCCGCGGAGCGGCTAGGCCCGTGAGCCATGGCCGCTGAGCCTGTGCTCCGCAACGGGAGATGCCACGACAGTGAGAGGCCCGCATACCGAAAAAAAAAAAAAAGCACAATGTAGAAAAATGATAAGTGGAAAAACCACAAAGCTAGGCTTCTTTTAGGTTTATGTAGAAGAGGTAGGCTGATATAAAAAATTTGAGGAATTGCAATTTTTTTGTCAGTCTGCAAGTCTCTTTAAAATATACACGTATCACTTATTATCTAGTAACTGAAAAACTAATTTCTAAATTCTTTTTCTTTTCGCTGTTCACTTTTGGATCACTCTATGGTTTGTTAGCACTTCTGCTAGTAGGTTACAAAGAAAGAGTAAAACCAAAATAAATAAATAAATATTGTATTGCTACTAACTGTAAGAAGTGAGGTTTCAACAATGACTTGATTATTCAGTGCCCTGGACTTTCATTTTTCCATGATCTTGTTCTTACTTTTATGTCATTTTAAGTAATTTTAGACTTTTATCATTTGAGCAGGGGTCCACGGAAAACAATAAGGGTTGAGATAAGTTTTTAAAAATTAGATACTTCTTTTTGATGTTCCAGGGTCCTGATTTATATATTCCTATTGGAATAAGCCTTTAAAACAAATAATATGATGGGTAGTAGAACTGAGGTACTCAGTAATATATATTAAAATATCCACAACTGTTAATCTTAACCAACAGTTAGACTATCCAAAATGGGACATGGAACCACTCAAAACCATACCACATTTCCCTTTCATTAATTTTTTTCTCCCTAAAAACTGTTAAATACAAATACCAATGAATGCTGATAAACTTGCACCAATCCCACTGTGACTCCCAAAGCAGCACATCTGGAGAAGATTTTACACATAAAACAACTTATTTTGTGGCTACAGCAACAGCCTATCAGCCACTCTGTTTTTAACTTAATATAGGTGCAGGGGCCTTTTAGCAAAGCAAAAGTCCCTCAGAGAGACTGATCCCAGCTGTTCTCTGGATGGGCACTACAAAGCCTATAGGATTCAGAGGGGTACCTGAGGACTTTTCCCGTGGCCCTGAGACAGCCTAGTAGGGAAGCAGCTTTCATCATTCACAGAGAGGGAGACTGTGATGGCTGATATACACACAGAGGAGCCTGGGTGAGTTCACAAATGTGAGCGTGAGACCATTCTGGCGTGGCAGTAGTGATCTTCCTGGGTGGCAGGAGAGGTCATGAATATATGATGTGGGAATGAGGGTGTGGCAAGTGAGAAAAGAAGAGAACCTGTCCCAGAGGGGGAAAACCCACATACAATGTCTGCTTCACATTCCAAACCTGCTTATGGTGCTCTGAATCTCAGTGGCTGTTCATTTTTCCTCTCATTTCAACATGCACAGGTCTGGATAAAGGTACAAGTTTCACAAGAGTCAGTGGTAAGTAGTCATATTCTAAACACACCATATTTCTTTTTTTGTCAGATGTCATGGTATGAAGGTATTTATTATTCAATAATTTCATGATGTTTTATTTAGACTCAAAAGCATGCTTTGTAGGTGCTTAATAATCATTAGCAAATACATAGTGGACATTTTAAGATCTCCATTACACAGTATGGCATGCATTTAAAATGAAAAATTGTCCATTGAAGAGAATACAGGAAACTTCTATACAAAGGAACTAGAAGCCAGGCTTATTTGTAAGCAGTCTAAATTAAATTGCTTGCTTTTAGACATCAGCAGGCATAGCAATATGTAGGTGCTTTAACTTCCATTTTCCTTATATTTGGGTTTTTAAAAATTATAAACCATTATCAATCCCAAAGATAAATGAAGCCTTTAAAACACTTGAGAAATAAAAGTGGAAATCAGATTTTAAAAATAGGACAAGAAAAATAATCATTTCTGGGTCGGCCTTGGATGATGTCATCATAGGTTCTAAATGTAATAGCCAGGCAGTGTACACTAACTCTTCCTGCCCATGTGACCTCTAACATCAATTTGAGCAAAACAACTAATATTTCAATAATTTTTTGGCTGAGAAGTGAGATTCAGAAGCAAATGATTAAAGAGAGTTTAGAGTGCCAAGGATGAAACGATGTGTGTGTGTGTGTGTATGTGTGTGTGTGTGTGTGTGTGTGAGTGCGCACGCGCACGCGTGGGGGGCCAAGGGGCGGAGGCATGAAAACTAACTCTTCCAGCACACACCCCTTTTGCTACTACAAGGGCATCCAGCAATCACATTTGCAATAGTAAAAATGCTGAAGGATCCTACAGTATCTTTTCTTCCACAACCAACCCTACCATCTCCTACAAAGCCCTTCTTGCTTTATCGGTGCCAGGAAATTCTTCAGGGGTTAAACGGGGAAGTGCAGCCACTACCATTGTTGCAATAAATAAATGAATGAACCAGACGAAACAGCAATCCATCCCTGAGAAGCAAGTACCTTATTTCCTACAATTATATACATTAGCCAGCAACCATATATTTTTAAAAAATTGTGTTTTATCTTTTGATGTGTGTGTACACATTACGCACAGGTATCTATACAAAAAGAATCACAGTGCTCTGCGCACACACACACACACACACACACACACCCCAAATACCTTTAAAATATTTTTTAGCATTATTATTTAAATGAAAAGACAAATAGCTTCTACAAAATTGGACAGATTAGCAACTTCATCTCAAAGGCCTTTTATTTTGCACATACAGCATATATAAATACATAGACACACACACACACACACACACACACACACACACACACACACACACAAAGGGTTTTTTTTTCCATGCCGTAGACAATGCTAAAATATCTGAGATCAGGTTGCTATGCCAACAGATTTTTTTCTAAAATGAATAAAATTATTAGGAGGGAGAAAACATTCTTGACTCCTTTCCTCCCATCCATGAAGCCCAGAGAGGCTCAGGGAGGGTGAGAGGCTGCCAGATGGGGAGGAGGGGAAGGAAGGGAAGGTGGGTAGAGGGGTGTTTGCTTACCAAAGATGCTGATTTGATCGTGGCAAAGCGCTCTCTGTTCCGGTAGTGGAGGGCCTGGCTCTGAACTGACTGGGTAGGCCGCGGCTCAGGCCTGGGATCGCCGTGGCCCGCCTCATCCCTTATGAATACATGATCCTGCAGAAATGGATAAAAACAAGGAGAAAGTCCAGCTGTGCTCTTTCCTCGCCGGCTGCCTCTCTCTCACCCCTCTTTCTGCACAAGCACTGCTGTTTGAAATGCATAGTTTAGCTCTCTGCTAGTCCCCGCAGCTCCCACGGTACAAAATGAATAAGCAACACATTGCAGCCTTCAGTTAGGAATGTCAGCTGATCGCTAGTGGGATGCCTTCTGAATCCCTGGCAGGCTTTTTCTTTACCTCCAGAATTACATATATGCAAAAGAAAAAAAGAATAGAAAAAACAAGGCAATGTACAGACTCCTTAGAACAGTTTGCTTAAAACGCTGTAACCAAATAATTCCTTTAAAAATGTCATGTCCATGTCTAGCAAGGAGGATGCTGGTGGCTTTTAACATAAAAGCGAGCCTCCGCCTCATTCCCTTGAAAGATCTGCTTTCTCAATTTAATTTTATTTGAGATCTGTTCGGTAGGATCATCGTTCTGCCTAGAACCAGTGTAGGCTTGTGCTGGACTGCCTCTCTATCTTGTGCTGGGAAGATTCGGCAGTCACTGAGGGATCCTGCTTTCCAGTCATGATCGTTCACAGTTCTAGCACCTTCTCTCTACAGCTTCTGAAAGGATTTTTTTTTTTAGATTTAAAGAGACAGGCATACAATTTTAACAAAATGATACTTTCACAAATTCTTCCTCAACTCAGTGTCGGTATGGTCACCAGAGTGAGTAAAGCTGGAATTTAATGTCCTTGACTGATTTAATCAGGTCTGGGCTTCTTGACAGGCAAAGATGATTAATCGTATTGTAACGCCCAGTGAAAAATAACATTCCTTGGAAAGATAATGATGGATGTTTCTTAAATGCAATTGAAATGACTTTTAAAGGGGTAAATGCTTTCAAAGCGCAATGCTTTGCTCGATAAAAGATGGAGAGGCCAGTCAGTAAGTAGCACTAACCTTTCAGAAAAAAAGATACTGTAATAATTAATAGCTCAGAAACATGTACAACCATGGGGGATTTTCAAATAGTACATGTTCAGCATGGGGAAGGAGAAATTAATTCTCTTACTGCCCTAGGGTTTTAGGAGAAACCATTGTGAGAAGTCAGTTTTGCATTTTGTCCATGACTATTTGAAATTTTTTATAATTGCTCTTTTCTTCATCAGTAAACAAAATTAAAAAGTTTTAAAAAATACAAAATTTTATTATACAGTGTAAAATGCTGAAAAGTCAAAACACATAAACTCCTTGAGGAAAATTAAATTTTACATCCAGGTTTCTATGTAAAAGAGAAGACCCATGATTAAATTCATCATTGGGTTGATTTTCTTTTCCCTTTTATAAAATTAGAATGCTTCAGAATGTTGGGAAGGTATTTACCATTACGTCTATATTTAGAGCTTTAAAAAAAAATTTTTACTGTACTGTGGTCTATTTTGCTTTCAAATAATGAAGGGACCTTTAACGCCACTGAAGGCATATATATCAAATTCAAGGGATATTTTACTGCTGTGCTGTCCAATAAGATACCCTTTAGCCACATGGATATTTTAATTAAGTAAAATGTAAAATTCAGTTTCTAAGTCACACCAGCTGTGTTTCAAGCTAGCCACTAACTATGGCTACCACAGTGAAATGGTGCAGATACAGATCATTTCTATCACTGCAGAAAGTTCTATTAGATAGTGCTATAGATTAAAAATGCATCTCAACCCATATTTTTGAAATTTATAAAAAAATACTTGACAGGTCAATTTAAAATTTTCTATGTTATTTCCTGGGAAATCTAAATTCTTATTTCAGCAGGCAAAGAGAGATTAGGTGTGCCATTTATGCATCTAGGTTTAAGGTTCTAGAGAGGAAGGCACTGGGATCTACTACCATTCATATTGCTGGATATTTATTAATAAATTACATTAACTCCAAAATTGCTCTTACTTAATATTATAATCCCAGAAAAGCAAGATGCTTCTAAATGCTAGCAATCAGAAGAGATAGGCTAGGTAGAGGCCTGTGGTTTTACAGGTCAGAGTTTTGGTGAGCATTAGTTAGCTAACATTAAGTGTACTTACTGAGAGGGAGCTCTTCAATGCTGTGGCAGCAGCTAAATTTCAAATTTGATAACTTGATTTAAAAAAACTAACCTGTGGAATCCACACTATTCACATAACAGAATAAAACAAAACACATTCATATGCAAATATGTGTAACTTTAATATTAGTTGTTTTCTCTCAGATAAAAGTTAACACTTGTAGGTTAGGACCCTGCTTATCAAATTAAAAGTCACATCATATTTGCTAAGTTTTTAAACTCAAGGGTATTGTAATACACTGGAAAAATTAAAACTTGAGACCATAGTGATTTTAGTTGACATATAGCTAATTAAATAACCCACTAAGGTATATTTAAAAAATAATGCTATTTTAGAAGTTAGTCTGAGAGAAGAGGTCAAAAAACTTTAATCTACTTTAAATATAATAAATAATGCTAATGCTAGAAGTATAATCCCTTGCATCTCCTTAAAATTAAAAAAAATTTTATAAAAAAATTCTTATTTTTTGTACTAGCTTCATAACAGAGATCACCAACACTAAGTCTCCAAATATTATACAAGAGACCACAGGATGAGGCAATATTTTAGTCTAACAGTGGATATCCAAGTGCATAGGGAAATAAATTTTAAAATATTCAACACCATTGATTAAAACAAGTTCAAAACTCTGCAGATGACTTAAATAATGAAGCACTTTTAAAATGAGGGCAATGTGACTTGAGAAGCAAGTAAGAACAAATTAAACTATCAGCTTTACTGGGTATGTGGTCTGTTGGTTACATCACCCCTTCGAGTAGCAGCCCCTTTGAAAATGACTATACTTGCCTCCCAGAGTTTCCGACATGAACACATTTTAAGATCAATACTGGAAAGGGTGAATTTGCTATTTTACGCAGTTAAGCACCGCTGCATATGATTTACAAATGTTGATGAGAGGACCAACATCTTCTTTGATGTTGAAGAATGATTTCAGAAGTTTAAGAACAAATATCATGTTCTACCTTACCAAGACAAAATATATGACTTGTTTATAATTTATCCTTAAAACATTCGCATCCAGGAACGAACAAAATAGCTCTTTGAAATACCAATATGAATTGGGGACCAGTTTTAAGTAAGTCTGTGTTAACCTGGTAAATTTATAATGTCCTTTCTTTATAAAAAGTAGAACTTCTTCAGATTAAAAACTTTACTATTATTCCCTGGACAATGGGCTTTACTTTTATTTAGAAGTTTTTCCCTAAATGTCTGACTATTTATGCTTCCGAAATGAGGATTCATAGTGTGGTCACTTGTTCAGAGTTTCTAGGTTAACTTGAAATTAACCTTGGAAACCACTCTACTGGACTCTGTTATGCTTTTCATATACCTTTATCACACTCCTCATCATACTTATACTCACCTTTGTATGAGACTGTGAGCTTTTTTTTTTTTTTTTTTTTTTTTTGGGTGGGGGGCGAGCCTCTCACTGTTGTGGCCTCTCCCATTGCGGAGCACAGGCTCCGGACGCGCAGGCTCAGCGGCCACGGCTCACGGGCCCAGTCGCTCCGCAGCATGTGGGATCTTCCCGGACCGGGGCACGAACCCGTGTCCCCTGCATCGGCAGGCGGACTCTCAACCACTGCGCCACCGGGGAAGCCCCTGAGACTGTGAGCTTTTTGAAGGCAGAGTAAATGTGGTTTGAAAAATCTGTCTTCCCAGCACCTAGCATAGTGATTGATACTTTGTGGGCATTCAAAAAAAATGTTTGCTGAATAAATAAGCTCAAGAATATAGGTCTGAGGAGATTCTGGAAAAATGACATTTTCTTTGTTATTGTTTAACAGAATTCAAATTTGTATTTCATAAAAACCTGCCACTCTGTACTCTAAGGAAGTTGCAAAACAGTGACACACCCACAAGCACACCTTTACATGGCGGGGCGGGGCGGGTGGGGGGGAAGCAGGTCTAAAAATGGCTTTTTTTCTGGTGACGAGACGTCTTTTTATAGATTCCCATACTTTTCACGCTGTGGAGAAGGGATCAGCAAACCCACCATCTCTTTCATTCTGTTCAAAATGATTAAATGATTGCCTAAGCAGGTACAGCTATCAAAAGCTGGAGCCAGAGGAAGGCGAGAAGATGGAAAAGGATATCTTCACTTGGAAGGACAGCTATTGGGGAGAGAAAATGACTAGCAGAACGCTGAGGATAAAGATGTTACTATACAGAGGTGTTTTGTATGAGTGCTCTGTTTAAGAAACACTGCCTTCATATGTTAATTTACTTTTACTCTGCCAAATGTGAGTTGAAGAGTCAAAGAACCCGCCCCTCTCTTCAGCAAAAATAACAGGAAAGGCCACTGAAGCAAGTGAAAATTAAACTAGAACATCCTATCCCCTCAAGGACATTTCTCTTTTTTCCCTCCCATGAAAATGGAGAAAGTTGTTCTATTTTTAAAGAAGGGGGAAAAGAAAACCCCACTAACAGTGACTAATAGGAAGGGTCAAGTAAAGCTTTAGGAGTTAGAAGAGAATGATTTTTTAAAAAATAATCTCTAAAAGAGGGCCATGATGACTAGAGTTCATTTGGCATACACAAATTGATTAATAAACAAAGAGTTTTAATATATTAAAGTCTCGTAATCTATATTAATAGAAGGCAGCAGCAAGCAACAGTAATTGATTTTAGACTTAAACAAAATAAAAGTATACCTTTTAATTGACAAATTAAAAAAAATAGACTTTGTTGCTTAGGACGATATTAAAATCTGTGTGCTACTGCTGTACACCCAATGGTTTTAAGGTGTAGGGTGGAGGCTCAGAGGCAGCCTAGGCTACAGCAAAAAAAACTAATCTGGATTAAGAGTTTGCCCTGGACTCATTTGTGAATAATCAAGAACTGAGGTGTAGAGTTGCGTCTTATAAAAGTTCATCTTCATTTTAGTTCACAAAACATCTTATTGAGTGC